ATACATATGTATACTTTGGAATACATATGTATGTATTTATCTGTGGGACGCATATGTTTTTCTGCCCTCTCTCGCAATCAGTTGAAATTCCATATGATTTTTGTATACATACAAACCCCCTCTCCACAGCCTGCTGCTGCAACATGTCGTCCAGTACATCGCTCGCAACATGTTGCCGATGAGAAGACACCTAACGCAGGCAGCCAACGAGCAAGCACAATACAAAAACTTTGCCAAAACTAGCAAAATGTACGACGTAGTTTCCATGCACACGTGTACATAACACATTACATAGTCTGTAAAGTACATACATATATACATAAATTGTTTTTATAAAGTATATAAGGCGCACACTGGCAAACAACGCAGCACACAAAGTATATTTATTTATATACATACACACATATGTACCTATACTTTACTGTATATGTGCATACATACTTACAGTATCTGGCGGGTGCTCGTGGCTCGCTCAGCTGTTTTAGAAAGTTAAGTGTTGAGTTGCCTGCCTCGCTCGCAGCAGAGCAAGTTCGTTCATTCAAGCAGAGACAGCGCAAGCGACAACATCTCACTGCGACGGAAACGCGCGAGCAACAGAAGCAAACAGAGCGCAAAGAGACAAAGTAAAAAATAAATATTGTGTGTGGCTGTGGCTGTTTGGCCAGTTAGTAGTGAAGGCTACCAAAAACGGAGGCTAAAGTACAAAAGACACAAATCAAACACCAAATAATATAAACTCGTTAAAATCTGGTCCATTATTTCAGACAAGTTGCAGGAATCTTGTTGCTCCTCGCGAATCCGCTACCAGTGTTTGTTTTCCTTTTTTGTGTTCAATTATTTATGTGCAAGTGAAGACATACAAAAATCCATATGTACATCAATTGAAATTTGATTTTTATACTCAGATACACTGCCTCACATACATATACATATATACTTTTTTGCGTGCATGTGTGTGTAGAGACGAAGAGACGATCGACAATCTTCTTTTTCAATTCAATACAAGTTGAAAACGCAACGCGAATCCGTTGAAAATTCAAATGCTGCTACATCCACATTTGGGTTGCTGCCGCTGTCAACATTGTTGTTGCTGTTGCCAACCACCGAGAACTACACTTGCAGAACGAAAAGAGCAGCAGCCGCAACAGCAACGTTTGCAGAGGCGACAAAAAAACCGTAGCAGAAGTTGAGTGATGCGGAAAGTGAAATGAAATGAACAGTTAGACGCAATTTTACTCCTGGTTTTGAATTTGTGTGAAAAAAGCAACGAATTGCTCGAAATTCAAATTGAAAAGCTCAGCGTTTGTCCAAAGTCTTGAGAAAGGTACGTAATTATTACACTTAAAAACTCATAATATGGACGTACATACATACAAATGTATGTATGTATGTATGCTTGTAAGTGCTCGTCAAACTGTGACGTTGGCCACTCAGCTGTGCAGTGAGCGCTGCGCATGTGTTGGTGACGTAATGCGCAACAACAAAATTGCTGTCATACATACTTACAAAAGCATGGCAAACTGCTGAAGCTTGGCCACCCACACACAAGCACAAACTCAATTTATAGAAACAGTGCAAAGTTGAATAATTGAAGATCGCCAATACGTGTAGATATGTAGATATTTTTTAACATGTATACATACATCTATATTAGCTTTGGCAATTTAGGAGACAATACGACGCCCCCTTAACGTTGTATAAAACACACATACATTTGTAAACACAAATATTAAATACGTGTACATACATACATACATATGTATGCATATGCATGTATGGAAGTAATACTCAAAAGCAAATCAAATGTTGCTTCGCATTGCTTTGTGGGTGTGCGTGCGTTGGCTTATTTGTTCGCCACGCTCATGCTCTTGTTCTCACTAAGTGACTGTCTCTCCACTCCCCCAAATTGCACCCATGTGATTATATACATACATGCATATAAACATACATGTACACATACTTACATGTGTGTGTTAGTGTGTCTTGTTATGCCAACGCACCCATATGCATACGTTTGAAGTCAGGAAAATTCAACTTTTGAGTTCTCTTTTTTTAAATGTAATTGACACACATTTTCTAATTGTGGCGTGAAGCCAACGCTTGCTGTTGTTGTTGTTGTTGTGCCCCCACACGCCACACATAAACACATTCATACATACATATGTATGTATGTATGTATGTACGTACAACTGCTTGCATTTAAATGTATGTTTGTCATAGGGGTCGGGCAACGTGGGGCATACGTTGAGTGTTTAATTTGATACTAAGTGCTGAATATTTTTCAAGATTTGTCAAAATTTGTAGACCATTGAAACCATTGTAAGCCATTTAATTCTTCTTTTTATATGTGAATACCAAGATCACGCGACTATACAAACACACATAATAAGCTCGCTATCATAACATAACATTTTGAGAATTTTGAATGAAAATAAGACAATTTAGGCAATATATATATACCACATATTATATTGAAATAAAAATGCTTTGGCTTAAACTGATTTGATCCGAACGAAATCCAGTTGGCAGAATCAATATTGGCATTGGGCAGCTGTTAAACACGGCAATTGTAGCGCACAGGTGCCACAAAACCAATCTAAAACAGAAACAAAAAGATTGGGAATTAGCTTGCAGCTCATACATCAATAAAATCATGTTTCAGGCATTACCTTACAGCCGAGCTGAGTTCGTGACTGAATCTTTTGGTTATTGGCCAGCGATATTGTGAATCATATGGCGCGTCAGTTAGTCGAACGTAAAGGAAGGTCTATTTCTATTTTCCAGTTGAGCATGTCGCGACTGCTCCCTAAAAGCTTTACGACGCAATTGAGTTGTGCTTTTATTTCACTTATTAAATTGAAACAATTTTCCACTAAATAGTATACCAATGAAATTATTATCAGATGATATCAAATCATATTTCAGCTGAAAAATTAATCGCTTACTATCTTATATAAAGGTATACATACATATTTAAAAGACTAATTAAACTGACCCTAATGCAAAGCAAGCCAGGCTAATGACACGCCTTGCGCCTTTCATATTAAATTAAAATTAATTACAAGCCCTTCCAACTAATTCAGCAAAAATAATGACAGCGACTCGATTCAAGCAATTTACCCTTATCTATACATTGTATGTATGTATGTCTATGTGTAATATACATGTATGTATATACCCATACGAGTTTGTTCCATTGTGTGCTTTCGTCAAAGCTTTCACTGAATGTAAGCTAACTAAGTTGCTTTGTGTACATAAATATTGGTCTGTATGTATGTATGTTTGCACTTACATAAGTGAAAGCATCGAACGCGTCTATGTATCTCATAGCTAACCAAATGCCATAAATAGCCAATTTGAAACCAAAAAAGAGACAATTCGTTACAAAGACAAAGCAATTTCAAAAGCAAAACAGCCGTTTGGTTGAGAAACAGCTGTTCTTCTAATTTATAGATGTATGCATGCATGCATGTGTGTGTTCAAATTAACATTCTCTTTACATGCAAATGCTGATTTACATTCATTTTACCTACCAATGTACAATAATTGATTAAAAGACTTCCCGTCAAAAAGAATTCGCATGTCATTTAATACGTACGCGCTCGAAATGTAAATGTTGCACAAGCTACTGAGAGGAAAAAGCACGTAAGCGGGTGGGTCAGTAATCGGAGAGCGAGAAGTTAAGAGAATGCAAGATAATGTGTAAAGACTGAAGTATAAAAAGAAGTTTCTTGTGGAGTAGTAAAAATAAAACTTTTATAAAAATACAAATAAAATGCAGGAGGCTGGCATGCAGGCATAATACATGCATATATGTATGTATGTATATGTACATATGTACGTGCTGTTGCTCGGTCATTTGCTTTTCTTTTACGCGTTTCTTCAACTCTGTGACTGCGACTGTGGCCGCATCAGCGACAGCTGCGTCTCAGCATGCGTGCGAGCAAATTTTGCTCCCATTTTGCAACTACCAACATCTTGCGCCCCAACGCCCGCATCCATCCAGCTGCCAATCGTCGGAGTCGTGCAACTCTACCATAAGGCAGAACATTTTTTGGTTAAAAATAAAGCGTGTGCCGAGTCAGCAAAGAAGCAATAAGAAAAGAAAAAGACCAAAACCAATACAAAGTCCTGCTATGGTCCCTCTTCTTGCTATAGACAGGGGAGTGTATGTGTATGTTCGGTGCTCACTCATACAGAGGTTTGCCTTTGCCCCAAACTCATGTTCCCCCGTTTGTGGGAGAGAGATGCTCACGTGCTGCTCACATTACAGAGGCATGCAAGGCAAACAGCCAGTGGAAGATACACAAAAAAAAACTTACACGTGCACAACCACAAGAGCGTAAGAGAATAACAAAATACCATAACTAGCCTGAGTTTGTTTACAATATTTGATTTTGTTTTTGCTTTTTTGTTTTTATTTACTGCGCACATATGAATAGCGCTCGCTCTTGCTGTTACTGTGTTAGTTACTGCAAAACAGAGAATGGGAGAGCAGAGAGAGAGAGAGAGAGAGAGAGAGAGAGAGTGAGCGAGCGAGCGCAGACCATGTAACATTTCTGATGGCGTTGTGTAAGATGGAACAGGGTGTCTGTTTGGTGTTATAATTACGCTTTATCTTTGCAATTTGTAACAATGTTGCTCAATCAAATAACAACAGTGCCGTCTGTTTCAAAATTAACTCATGGCTTTATTTGTAGCACTTAAACACCTTGGTGTTACAAACTCTATATACATAGGTATATATATGTATGTACGAGATATGTATGTATGTACATATGTAAGAAATTATATATGGTGTACTAAAAAGTGTAGATAATGAGAGTGACATTGAACAATCATTTTTTGTATAGTACTTGTATATCTTTGTGAGTTTGCCACTTGTCTTTCTACATGGGTACCGAATATAATTTATAATCCCCTTCAGATATATATATATATATTTTTGCATCGCTTTTTAATTAAACACGTTTTTCTCTCCCACTCTTCTTTAATTGCAGCAGAAGGCAAAATAATGGAATTTTAACAGGTCCCGAAAGGTAAGTTGTGCTCCATGTTTTGTTGAACTTAATGCCTTTTTTTTCGAAATTACTGTTTGAGTAGAATTTGACGTAAATAGCAATTAAATGCAAAATAAAAGAAGCGTCTAAATTATTTTGGTGATGGGAATCCGCTGATTTAAATATTATTTCGGAAAAACACGGATGTTGTTAAAAGCCTTTTATTTACTTCATAGATGTTTTGAAATTCTAACCTTACATTACAAAAATAATAATTACGGCGCACAATCCGTAGGTTCATTATGTTGTGGCTGGGAGAGACATCCAATATATAACCCAAGTGAAAAGCAAATCCAAATCCAAAATGTGACCTTCCTACATAGCTAGGCATGCCATTTCGAACGAATTGGCGCGCGCTCAGCTGTAAAAAGCACGAGAGGGTCGCAATACATGCATACCTATGTATGTACATACATAAATAAATACATGCATTTATGTACTAACAAATATGTCGAGGCATTATGGGCATTTGTGAGGCCGACGTCGAGGTCAAAGCGGTTACAAAAGCTATTGTTTGATTAAACGCATCTAAGTATATAAGTTAACAAGTATCTATACACATGCATACGAATGTACGAGTATGTATGTACAAGTATGTATTTATTTCTGTACGTAAGCCCGCATAAAAAGTGTGTTCATCAAAAAGACAACATTCAACTTATCTTAATCAGAGTCAGATGCTTCGGTTGTTGTTCACTTCCGCCTTTTATGACACATTTTGCTCAAGCCATGTGTCCACGTCTCTCAATAAATAACAGCAAATAAATGCACACAATTACCATGCCACTGCTTTGATGACGCATCGGGGGGCACGACTGAGGGAAACACACATGCATGCATATAAAAGCATATACGACCTGGTTATATGTACATACATACATACATGAGATTTCCATATGTACTTACCTAGAGTCATTGAGCAAATTATTGCTTGGCTGACAAAGACAAAGACAATTAGCTGACTAAGAGGGGGGTATACTCTTTCTGTTAGCGTTGGCGCATTTCATAACCAAAGGGGAGCAATGCCAGCCACAAGAAAGTTGGCAACAACAAAGAAAAATCATTCAGGACACACAGTGGTAAAAACGAGGAAAAAATTAATCAAATTTTTACAAATTCGGATCAATCTTATTTTTTAATTATTCCATTTGTGATATCACATCAACTATTACTTATGTTAATATGAAGAGCAATTGGACATTGAGGCCGAAATAAGGTAAATTGATAAAAAGTTAAATCCGTAGGGAATCTTAAATTCTATTTTTGTGCAGAATATAATGTATTGACGTTTTAAATTATACTGTTTTAAGATACTTCGCAGTTTCCTACTGTAAGAAGAATAATGTTCAATTAGTTGGACCTCATAAATTGTTACAAATTTAATATTTAATTTATGTGCTGGTTTCAAACTACTACTTCCAACACTTAGTGTTCAATTCCCCAAATTGACTTTAGGGAAGAAAAAATATTCAGTTCGTCCCACTGTGCAGTTTGTCTGTCTATCCACGAGGGAAGCAACAAATTCAAATGCACGACCCAAGTAAAGGAAAGGCAGCAAGACGAACTTGTTTTCAAAGTTGCAACATTTTTGCTTTTATTTACCGAGCAGTGGCAACAATAACGACAGCGCAGCTAAACGGAAACGGGTTTCTTGGAGGCTGCAAATAAAAAAATATAAAAAAAAAATTAAAAGACAACTAATCAACCGCCATCTAGCGTTGGGGTTGGGCACTTGCTAGTTTGGTTTGGCGGGCCTTTCACTGTCCAGAGTTTACGAAACTCAAAATCAAGAAAAGTCGCAGACGCCGTGCATGCACATTGTATCTGCATTGTATGTATGATTGCATATGTACATACATACATATGTATGTATGTATGAGCATGTAACAAATGCAATGTGCGTCAATTGGCAGTGTTTCGCAAAATGCACACATGCTGAGCAAAAATATTGAACAATCGAAAGCAAGCCAAGGACGTCCGCTTGCAAAATGAAATTAGTTCAACAAAACGTACTCCGCTGTTCTGCCGCTCGCCCCCTTTCCGCAAACGGTCTCCTTCCTTTAATCACTCACGCGCTCGTTGAAGGCAGAACATTCGGCTTGGAAATTTGGTATATAAATCAAAGTTGAATTTATTATTTATAAAAAATTCATAAGAGCTAAAACTCAGTGAACTGCAACAATATAAAAGTAAAATTTAATACTTCGCCAAGTCATCAGTCTCTCACACGACTGATCTACACACTCCCTCACTCTGCTGCTCTCTCTTCCATTTCAAAATAGCAGCGGATTCGCTCTGCCTTAAAGGCCAGCCCCAGTGCCTCATTCTGCTATGTCTATGTTAATGTTGCCGTTTTTTCTTTGCCAGTCCAAAAATAAATTAAAAGAAACAGCTAAATAAATTAACATATGTATATGCATACATACGGCATTCTGTGCACATAATGTAATTAAATATTATTAAACTCTAACACGCTCAGTTATGTATTATTGTTGCTATTACGTTCGTTCGCTTGCCCTCTTTTTCGATACAAGTTTTTATTTTTTTGTTGATTGTATCTTTTTGTACGTATATGTATATTTGCATGTTTCGATGTGTGCGTGTTTATATTTTTCTATAGCCAAGCAGCACCAGCTGAAAATTGCCCATTGTGGGCCAAGTCTATTTGTGTGTATCTGTGTGTGTTGTTGCGAGCGCGACGCAATAAACAATAATATACACAAACATACATGCATACACATACATACATATGTACAAGCTCAAACATTGCCAACTGATTACGCGCAGACACAACACAGCACAGCACAAATCATATGTTTTTCTAACAACACTGCTCTCAGACGTGCGCGCATACATACATACATACATGCATATACATAGGCTGTTTTGTATTTGTATGAGTCGCGCGCGCCAGTTAAATATTGTGTATGCAGGTCAAGAAGAAACGCAAAAACAAAACCAAAAGTAAAGACAAACATGTTTACAAGCTGAGAGCATGAGCGTGGGAGCGGGAGCGACAGCGAGAGCGCGTACTTGCTGCGGGAGAGCGTTTGTTTGTACCTTGCCTTTTTTGGTGTTAGCAACATGTTGCCAATTGATGTGGAATTGGCACAAACATGTTGCGTGCGCGTATTGTGCACTGCATTTTAACAGCTGTTTTATGTATGTACATGCATACATATACATACATCCATACTTATATTAAGTGCACGTGGGTGTGTGAGTGTGTTTTTGTTTATACTCGTTGCTGTATAAAGACTCTGTTGCTAAGCGGGCTTTTATACCATGCGATTCAAGGGTTGCGACTAAGCAAAAACATTTAATAAGTGTGTACTTAACATAACGAGCTCCTCGCAATTTGACGCTTAAATAAGAACGACCTTGGATAAGGTTTTAAAAAGTTGTGCTTTGTAAAAGTGAATAGTTTACTTCCATAATATACTTACTTGCCTGTATATTTGTATATACGAGTGAGTGAGCATGTATGGACGCATACATATGTTAGGATAAGCTTGGCTTACTGTACGCTCACATGCCATAAATGACGTCACGTCTGTAGATAATTCTTGGCTTGTACATATGTATTTATGTGTATAATGTGATCGTTGGTAACCGAGGCAAGATTTGTGTTGCCAAATGCATGTGTTTGTATGTATAGTACATGCATACGTAGACGTCGCTGCTGTTAAGTAACGACCTGGTTTGATTATTTGGGGCCACATTGAGGCCGTGTCAGTGTGTCGCATTACGGCCAGGCTCTGGGCAATTGTTACAATTGTTTCCACAGACAACATGTACTTCCGCATAAGCGGATGAGGTCACAAGGATGCACATACTATATACTTGTATGTATACATAGAAAAAGTAAACCGTGTCAGGTACATATGCAATAGTAATACATAGACTTATGTATATACATGGGACACCAGACTTTACATAAGACATAGTACATAGTAGCATGGCATGCGAGTGAAAGACCTTCAGCAGCACCATAAACCAAATGCATTGCGTTTTAATTGAATTTGATGCGATTGTGATGTTATGGCAGTGGGAGGCAAGGCGGCATACAGGGTGGTGTTCAGTTATACGTGTGTGTGTGTGTGTGTGCATGTGTGTGTGGGCTGCACATGCCAACGTTGACCTCGTTTCATAAACGTTGACATTCAAACTGCATTTTTTTATATCTTTGTGCCACTATAGCCTTGAGGGTGGTGTGGGTGGTTGTGGGTGGCTGTGTGGACGGGCGTACTTGGACAAGTGCACTTGAGTGTAGCTTATTTGAGCAGCAATCTTTGAGCTGTTGTCAAGCGCCCGCAGTAAGAGCACAGTGTCCGATTCGAAAGGTAGTTAAAAGTCTTGCGAGGAATCAAGAGTTGGTTATACCTCGATGAGTATCTTACAGACATTTAGTTCCTTTGTGCATTTTGTATTAATATATAAACATACATACATATTCTTGATCCGTCATAGGAACAAAATAACTAATCACTACAAATTTCATTGAACTATTATTGATGTGCAGAAAACTATTCGAAATATTCTTGAAAACAATTTGTTTGATAAATCATAAGACATTTTGAAAGTTGTTAACATTTTTAAGAAATGATAATAGTAACTAAGAAAGTAACACCAATTAGTTAATTTTGCTAAAAAGAAGCAATTGTTCCTTTATTAAATTAAAATGTGTGCATATTGTTCTTCAGAAACAATTTGAAATTCTGAGATTTAATTTCAAATTCTTGACACGGAAGAATGTCTTGATGTGTTACCAATTCTAAACGCTTATTTCAATGACTCTGTGTAAAACTTGTTCTAAAGTCAATCTAGAATGGTGGATCCTTTTTAATAGTTCTAATTAAATCTCTCGGTAAGTGGGCATATTTTTGAGGAGAAACATGTAACTGGTGTAATTGTTTATACAAAAAGGTGCTTATATTTAAAATATGACAAGGATTATCATAAAATAAACGTTTTACTCTTGGGCTTTCAAAACTTATAATTAGAGAAAATGCAAATATTTGCATTTAACAGAATACATTACAAAAATATTAATTCGTATTGGCTTATACTTGTAATACAAAGATGTGGTTATAGACTCAGCCTTTAGCTCCCTATTCACTTGGGAGTAAGTAAATTTGTCTTATGCTATTTAGATAGGGTGAAATTGTCAATTAGATTCCGTCATATCTGGAAATAAGTAATCGGAACTTTTGCTAATTATCGCTCTCTGGTTTCTTCTCTTGCAGTGTGTACTTCTGTTGCAGGCAGGCGTGAGTAGCCAAGAAGCAACTAACACCAGCAGCAGCAGTCGTAGCATCAGCAAGCAACATCCAGTAGTGTTGGGGAGAAGGGGGAGAAAGACACACCATGATACCCACGACCGTGACAAACTCGCCGCCTTCCGCCAGCGTGGCTCAGAATGGAGCCACTGCCATTGGGGGAGCTGGAGCAGCTGGCACTTCGGCGACCACAACTCAAACCAACTACAGCTCCATAGTGCTCGGTCTGGCCTCGTTGATACTGGAAGGGCGCTCCTTAGCGGATGATGAATACCAACAGCATCAGCAGACGCCACCATTGGCCGCGTCGACCCTTCCGTCTCAGCAGGTTCGTAGGACGCAACGCACTCGCGATTGGCTGGAGCAGCAAGCAGTTGGAAGTGTGGGTGGTCGCTCCTCGCCACGTCCCTCCACTTCGCGCGCCACTCTCATCAGTGGTTCGGGCTCGACGACGGCGGCTCAGCGCGTCATTAACATAACAACGAATCCCTATGCCATGTCGACGCCACTGCCATCTTATGGATATGCGGCTGGTGCCAGCTCTGCGGCCAGCTCGGCGGAGAATACGAGCAGCACACATCGGCGTTGGACACAGAAGCTGTGTCAGTTGCGTCAGGTGTCGCCGGCAGCTCAGACCATGAGTGCCGAGCCAGAACTGGTGGCACTAGCCATGAATCAGCTGAACAGTGAGACACATGGTGGTGGTGGTGGAGATTTTGAGATTGTGCGCCGCGTAATGCTGAATCGTTCTAGTGGCAATGCCACTGCCAACACCAGTGCGGCGTCCTCGCCGGGCTCTGGTTCTGGGGACAATATTCTTCACTCGCTTCAGTCACTGGCTACCACCTGTCTGCGTGGAGGTCCGGCTGCCGTGGAGCATACACTACAGACGCGCAATTTGAATTTGGCCTTCAACTCCTCCTCCTTCTACACAACACCACCGGGAGCAGCGGTGGCCAGTGGTGGTTCCAGCGGATACTCGCCGCAATATCGAAACCCCAATTTCTTGGATTTCTCCAGGACTAGATCGGAGGTGCCGAGTGTTTCGACTCGCAGCGGCACACCGAGATCAAAAGAATCACCAGCAGCTGGAACAACACCACAACCAACAACAGAAGCAGTAGCATCAACAGGAGCACCAGCACCAGCAGCAGCAGCCACTGCCAACACACGGCCCAAACACGGGCCACACTGTGATCAGTTCCTCAGAAAGATGGGTCTCGCCAAGGGAGAGGCCGCCGATGCTGAGGAGCACATCTGTGATATGTCATACGTAAACGGTTATACCGTGAGTAGTGCTATCATGTCACCCCAATTATGAGTTCCCAGCTCTATAATTGCCTTTCCCTCATTTGTCCTTATCGTAGTGTTCTCGTTGGCGCGCCTATTGCCTGAAGATAGAAGCAATCCTGGCACGCCGCCAGCCCATATGTATCGAGGTTTATCTGGGTCCCGTGGGCCATAAAATACTGCTAGAGCAATGGATCATAACTGGCAAGGAAAAGTAAGTGTCTCATATCTCCTTAGAGTGGGGTTTGGGAAATCTAGACGGCTTGAAATGATGGAAAATGTTGTAAGATTTAAGAAAAATGGATGGAATGGATCAAAAATAAAGTCAATAATGCTATCTATCCTTTCCATACTTTTTATGGTTCTCTGGCAACAATTTTCCACCAAGTCATGTCAATCTTGATCTGCAAGCCCGATCATTAATCCCGCTTCGTTTACAGAGTGCCACCACCCACCATGACCCTGCCTTCTCTGTGCAGTGCCATACGCAGCCAACTCTACTTCTCCCAAATCGTGGCTTGGTGCGATCTGCTCCGCAAGAGCGATCAGTCCACCTACGACGCGGGCCGCGTTATATTCTCCACCGGTAGCAGCACGTGTACCACCAATGCCGGCGACTTGGCCACGCCCACACACAGTGGCAATATGACGACGACATCTAGCAACACACCTGGACGACCGCGCCTCAATATTTTCTATCGCATCAAGCAGTACGACCCCCACGTTGTCGATGCCAACGCCGACGCCGACCTTGGTTTTCGCACCAAGGTTAATGTGCATAACTTTCCGCATGTGAACATCGCAGAGAACCTGAGCATATCAGTGTGTGTGAAGAGTCTTCCAAGAATAAATGGCGGCATTCCGCGTCTGGGACCCAGTACCACGCCATCGACGGCCGGCGCCTCGCGTGCTCGTCAGGAATCACACATGGGAGGCGAGGTGGCGCGAACGCCCACCTGCGGCGGGCAATTGTGTGCGGATATACCTATGGGGGCCCGAAGTGCCAATGGAGTCAATGCCACGGACCCAGCCAGAAGCTGTGATAGCAGTAAGGCACAACATCAGCAACCGCATCCCCAATCACAGTCCAGCGATGAGTTGGACAAGTGCTGCCTGACGTTGTCGCATCGCGAGAGGCAGCTGCAGAAATATTACAAGCGGATTCAGAGACGCGACAAGAAGCGGGAACGCAAGCCGTCCAGCGAAGACCTGGAGCTACAGCTGCAGCCGGAGCCCATGGACGATGAGCCAGTGTCCCGTGTCGGACAACGTCGCAGCATCGAGATGATCTCCACGGGTACGCAAACGTCCCTGAGTAGTTGCCGGCAATGTGGGAGTGAGAAGACGCTGCTGTGCCTCAATTGCAACATTGCCGACGATGACGAAGACCTCCCCGACACGGCCTCGGAGATGGAGGAGTTGGATGAGTCGAGTTGCAGCCTGAGCAGCAGTGATATTATTGTGGGCACGCCTCGCAACAAGGCCGAGTTGCTGCTCCAGGCCATACAACGAACGCCAAAGAACAAGAAGCAGCAACAACAACAGCGGGAACGGGAGCGCCAGCAGCAGCTGGCAGTCCAGCAGGCGCGCAATGATCTCAATGGCGCCGCCATGCGCCAGACCAACAACAACCACGTCGGCCAACACAAAGTAGCTCCGACCAGTGGTTGCCAGGTGTGCAAGCGCCAGAAGACGCAGCATAATTTCGGAAATAGTAGTACTAGCAATGTCGAGGAGACACCGATGAGCGTAGCATCTCCAACAACATCAACAATAGTAACAGTTGCTACTGCCACAGCCAGCGCAGACCATGCGAACGAGGACGACGATGGCGATGGGAAGCCGCCACGAGATAGCCAAGTGATAACCACCATGGAGCAAGAGGAGCAGCACGAGGAGCGGCACGAAAAAGTAAGTACATCTATCGAAAACTCCCAGCTTAAACAAAGACCAGATAGTGAAGTAGACAATACTTCAACTCCGTATCGGACTGAAGACTTTGTGTTGCGTTTTGTTATCGAAAGCAGATTGAGCTGCCAGATACCTCAGATAGACTTTTAATATGGTTAGGACTTTCGGCGGAATACTACAGCTCCTCCAACTCCTTCTTCTTCTCTTCTACATCACTTATACCTCCGTGCTTACATCTAGGGTCTTAGAGATCAGAACTTAATTATATTTGAGTATGCTAGTCAGTCACACGTACACTCTTTCTGCTTTACTTTCAGGCCTACGTCGGCTCGACGAAACTGACTCCTCAACTAGAGCGCTGCTCGTTGTTAGTTGAGCAGCCCAAGGAGCCCACGGAGCGCTGCTTCACGCCGCCAGCGAACACCAGCGCCACGACCAACATCCCAGAACTACTGCCTTCCTTAGGCGCCGACTTCGACGAAGGCATTGTGGTCCAGTTTAAGACGCCAACCAGCAATTTGCCGCTCAAGCTGCAGGAGTCGCAGCTGCATTGTGGTGGCAGTACAAGCGGTGGGGCCGGACAACGCAAGCAAACTCCCAAGCCCAGCTTGTTGCGTATCAATTGTAGCGGCACCTACAACCTCCTAGAGGGCGAATCGCAGGCGCCTCTCTTGCTGCGCAAAGCGCTGCCCAAAGTCAATCTAACGACCATCTTCTGCAATAGCAGCGCCAGTGCTTTGGCTGGCGGTCTGCATTCGGCCCCCATTAGCATTGGCGGTAGCAGCGGCAATCTGATGGGCAGTGGCGACAACAATGGGACAGACATGGCCTTCTCCTTCGAACCGGATGCGTTGAATCACTCGCAATCGCAATCCACATATGCGGTGGCTGCGGCGGTGACGGATTCGAATATTCCCGTACAGAAGTCCTATTCGGCACCCACATTGCCAAACTCGCTGTCCTTGTCGCCGCGCTTCGCCAAGCAGGCCTCGTTCTATAAACGACGATCCAGGCATTTGAGCGATCGCTCGGATCGCTCATCCCTCGGCTCTGATGAGCAGCTCTCCGATGAAGACTTCGAGTCGAGCATGTGCAGTCCGGCTACGTCGCCGCTGAAGTCGCGCTCCCTGCGCCTCACCACGCTTTTTGGACGTCGTCCGTTGCTTGGCAACCTGGAGGAATCGCTCTTGCAGAAGCGCCTGCTGCCAAAAGTCGAGGTCATGGGCTTCAAAGTGCTGCTCGGTGCCTCGGGTGGTTTCTGCCCCACTCAGCTGACCATACCGGCCGTGTCGTACTTCTACGAACTGCACGGCGAGACGCTGAGCACACCCTACTTGGTGAGTAGCCAGCGGCATAGTTTGCTAAAGTGGGTGCATAAGAGGGAGTGGGCTGGGGAGAGTTTAAACAAAGGTGATTTGCCTTTCAATCAATCGAGTTCCTTTTCATCAGAGAACCCTTATTGCCTCTGAAGACATTCTGGCAAGAAAGAAAATTAACATGTACGTCGAATTGATAGCCTAGAGATATCGTAAATATTAGTTAGTTCGTATCGTAAGTAGAGGCATGCCTTTTTAATTGTGACTCCTTCTTCTCGTACAGTGCGAGATTCGGTTGCCGAGAAAGGGCTACTTTGTGCCGCGCACTGGAACAGTGCAGGCCACGCTCTTGAATCCCATGGGCACGGTCGTGCGGATGTTCGTAATACCCTACGATATGAGCGACATGCCACCACTTCACCGCACCTTTATTCGGCAGCGTATACTGGCGGAGGAGTGTGCGCCGAGTGAGGCGAGCAGTTCCAGCAACCTGATGAGTATGTGCAATGGTCAACGGGGTCGGGAGAAGAGCAGCATGGAGCAGGCCAGCTGTCCAAGCAGCCCAGCTATGATTAGCAGTTGTGGCAAGCTGGGCCACTTCATAAGCGCCGAGCAAATGAAGCGACTGCGCTACTCCATACATCTGAGGTGAGAGGATTGGTTATAGATTTGGCGTAGCTACCAGCTGGTCTAAACTCTTGATATTGTATTGTAGGTTCCAAACTTCGCGCTCCGGCCGCCTGTCGCTGCACACCGACATACGCTTACTGATCTCAAGGCGGACTGATTGCGACACGGCTGCCGCGCATGCCAAGGGCGTCCTGGAGGCACCCAACGAGCTAATCACTGACAACATGATGCCCACGGAGCCCAGGTACAGTGCCAGGCAGGAGAGTCCCGGCAAGATGTAGTAGTTACTAAGGGATATGGGCGCTCGTGCCTTCAGCTGTTTGCGACGTCTCTACAAGCAGCTACACGAGCGCTGGCAACTCTGGCAGCAATATCAAAAATATCAGCTGTAAACACAATAACGATTGCTTCTCACATTTAATGCATCATTCGTATTCGTATTCGTATGCAATTTAGTTAGCATATTTAATCGGATATTTGAAACAAGTTTCAATAAGATTTACGAAAAAGTGTCAGATTCAGGAATAGCAGCGCCAACTCCAACTAAAGGAATCGGAACAAATTCTTGTGCGGCTCTATTATTATCATACGAGTACATACATATACATAGTATATTAATTGATACGATTTTATAATTTATGCAAATTGTTCACCATTTTAATTGCTTTAAACATTGTTATGAAAAACGTGTTCCAATTGGTTTCTTTTGTCAAAACGAACATTCAGTTCCGGATGTCCCCCCAGTCTTGCAAACAATGTCTGATCATTTTCTTCTTCTCATTTCTCATTTTTATTGCATACTCTGGGTCCATTCGAATAGAACAGCAATATTTAAAGAAATGTGCATGGAAAATCAATGATGCAGCCATAGCAATATAGACATAGACATATATGTATATATATATATATGCATACATATAGTATATATTTGTGTGCATGCATGCATGTGTGTGTGTGTGTGTGTGTGTGTGTGTGTGTGTGTGTGTGTGTGTGTGTGTGTGTGTGTGTGTGTGTGTGTGTGCGCGCGAATGTGAATAATAATCAAATTAGCAGCGTAATTGTAATGGATATATATTTGTATTTGTAAATGAGAGGAGTGGAGTGGAGTGGAGTGGAGAGGAGTGGAGCGGACGCAGGCGCAGGACGAGTCCCTTCTAGTATCCAATGCAATTGTGTAGAAATGTGAAAAAGCAAATCAATTTGTATGTACGTAGTATTAGCGGAATGGTGATTAATGGGAGTGTGGCACTCATATCGATCCTTGTTGTTGTTATTGTGAGAGCATTATTTTCAATTCTGTTTGTTGAAATGCACAAACATATAGTAGATATGTAATTATGTTCAAAATTTAGTTCAAGTACGCCTGCGTGTGTGAGTTTTGGCCTGGGGGGGAATTATTTCTGTCTCCTTTTCTGATTGATCTTTTGATTCTGTTTTTTTTTTTTTTTTTGAGAGCGTGTGAAAGCGTGCCTGTGATACGATATGAGCTGCGTGAGGTAATTCTAACAATGTTTAGTTTAAATACAATTAACAATTATGGTTTTACAATAAATATAAACACCTATTTTTAATTAGTTTGTGTGCATCCATCGTGCCACAAAGTATCTGCAATATCTGCTTGAACTTGTCTAGACGTTAACAGTCGCCTATCAAGAAAGGGGACGCATCCTCTCACCTTTCACCCATTTCGATCTGGACACATTTATTTTCCATTCGTTTCGCTCACAGACAATCAAAAATGTATTTTTGAACAGGATCGACCCCTTCCTTGGACCACCAAGTAGCGTCCAGACACAGTTCGAGCACAACAGTTCAACAATATGCTATTTGCTACAAGTATATGTGTGTTAACTTTTACTAGGTTCTTATTTCCATTGATACCTGACTATAACTATGTATAACTTACTATTATTACTATAAACAATTTTTGAATCTATGTGGTACTAATGCAAAGGAAAAACTTGCGCAGCATAAACAAAACATCGCTTGTTTTTCTTCCAAATATGTATTTGAAAACAACACAAGCGAAAATTGAAAAATTGAAAATTGCGCTAACTATGTAATTAACCCTTCCTCGATTTGGTTCCTCGGTTTAAGTAGAGAGCTTAATGTGCGCAGTCAATAGCAGATCAATATTTGAATAATTTATGCTGTAGCTATTATTAAAAAAATAATAATAATACAATAAATTATACAAAAGCAAATACATATATACTTACAACTAATTAAACACAAACATGTAAACAAACGTCTGTGTATATTTTTGGGTTCATGTGACTCTTTAAACTTTTGAAATGCAAATTACAAAATAAATACAACAAGTATATACATAAATGGTTCTTAGTAGCGGTACACAGTAATGCAAAAAATTAAAAACTTCAAGAAAAAGAAACACCAATATACAATGATTCAATAAAGAGTTTTGTGTTTTTAATCAAAAACTGCAATTTTATTCTTTTCGTGCTGTTCGTCCGCTTGTTTTTTTTTTTTCAATATAAATTTGTTGATTCTTTCCACAGACCTAAGAAGATGACTGCAAACCGGCAAAGTTTTATTGGAATTGTTAATCAACCATTAGCAAACCCACATATTTCACCCAGAGGGAGTACCAAAGCGCTTAATTAATAACATCATTACCGAAAAGCGCAAAAACGTTAAAATCTCCTTGACCAGGCGGCCTAATTCTGGTAAAAATTGAGTTCCCTCTAAAGCCAATGATGTCGTGGTTCATGATCAATTATATTTTAAAAGGCTCGCGAGAAGTAAAATGGGTGTTTCTAACCAAACCTAGGAAATCATCGCTCGTCAAACTAAAATTTTTCAGGCCTATCAGCCAAGACTTTGGAGAAACTAATAAAAATATACCTCAGGCAGTCTATTAAAACCACACTGCCATCAACAGCCCAGCACGCCTACTTATAGTAAGGATATGTCCACCCACACAGCCCTTCACATCCTAGTCTCAAACATAATTGTATCACTCGATATCAAAGAGTACTCTTTGTTGCATTCTTAGACAACATTTTTCATTTTACGATCCCTCGATCCATGGATGATCTATGTGTGGAAGGATTCCACGTTGGGTTCGTGAGTCCACTGCTTACCAGCAGGGCTCTGAATGCCGAAATGAAGGGTCTGACCATAACAAGGTTTGTTAGCAGAGGCAACCCACTAAAAAACCGGGTCCGGCTAACCTTCAGCTACAAGGCCAGGATTTTGGGGTGTTATCCTAGATAGGAAATTTAGAGTGAAGGAAGCCACAAATACTCTGTACTCATGTAACGTTTTACTTGTCTACACTGGAATTCGACAAATTTAAATAGGCTTTAGAGGAGGAAGTAATTAACAACTTGAAACTAGAAGAAAAGAAACACAAATTGGAGGAACAAAAAAGCAACAAATTTTGTATTCTTAGTGTCTATTAACTTAATAAAAAATGTATGTAATTGAAAAAGTACATCCGTAATTGTTGTATTCATCAAATTATTCAAAAATATAAAATAAAGAACAACACACATTTTTAAAGTTGTGGTGTTTTAGAAGAGAGTTTGGGTTTTCTAACTGCTGTATAAAGAGCTGCTGTTTTAAGTCGTGCGATTTCGTATTATGTATATTTGTAATGTATAATGTATTAGACTATTTTTTTTTATTGCTGTTGTTGTAGCTCCTCGAATGTTTTTCTCTTTACCAGTGGAAACACCAAAGGCTTCAGAGCTTGACCCCGCTTCAAATTTGAAACGGATAGTAAGGAAAAATACTAAAAATAACATTGTGATAAATTAGCGTTTATTGTATACATTAAAATATACTTGTAGGAAACGCTTCTTGCTAACTGCAAAAAAACAGGACTCTATTAAATATCACTATCCTTTTTGGTAGAAAATCAAAGGCATTTAATAAATATACACATTTTGCAATGAGCAAAGCCGAGCTTATATTCGTTGCAGCTGCCGCAGAACACAAAATACCATTACAAATGGTATATTTGAGTGAAATTGTCGGAATAACTGGTATATTTTGGCGTTCAAGTTTGGTCACACTGATTGCGATGCTATGCTGCCACTTAACAGAATTTGCTTTATCCGATGAGTCGCTCTGTTTGCCTGTTGGGGTTGCCACTAAGAGAAAATAACTTATTCAATCGCACACCACAGCACGACAATATGCGGAGTTTTTCAAGACCTTTGTTGTGTTTGCTGCAACGTCGTTATAACTTGCCACAAAATATACGCCTGAAAGCGACAAAAGCTACCACCACAAGTGACATTGACCAGACCTCGGGGCAGACGCCTAGAACCACACATGACAACCAAAAGCCGGGTGTTATGGGACCGGAGGAACAGCAGAAGCTCCCGGCACGCGAACCGCTGGCTAAAAACTTTTTTGTGGGGGCAGTGGACAAGGAGTTGCTCGGCTTTCCCGAGGTAATCACGCGCGAAGATATGACCAATCTTCAGAGCCATTTGGTCCCGTTGAAGAACTACTTTGATGACGAAAAGGTGGATCCAAAAGCGCTCGACAGTCTGAAGCAATTAGGCCTCTACGGTTTGAATGTGCCCACGGACTATGAAGGTAAAGGCTACGGCTGGAGCGCCAGTTTAATGGCCAGCGAGCCGGAGGCGGCACACACGAGCATTTCTCTGGGCTTACAGAGCCACCGTGTCATTGTTGATCTGCTAAGGGATGTGGGGACGCCGGCCCAGCAGCAACGTTATTTTCCCTTATTAGTGAATGGTAGCCTCATAGCCACTGAAGCCATATTCGAGTACACACCACCTGAGGATGAATACTTCAGTACACAAGCCAAATACCTTTCTGATTCCAGAAGCTGGGTACTGAATGGCGAGAAGGCCTATGTGGTGTGTGCGCCACCTTCGACTCCTCAGCAACAGCTTTTCCTGGTGCTGGCACAAACTCAACATCCAAATGTATCGGGTAGCATGGGGCGGGCCACCACCATCTTCCTGGTGGATTCGAACGAGGCGGGCGTCAAACTGGGCGAGCAGCACCAAACCTTCGGCTGCCGTGAGGCGACTATGCGGCGCGTCCACTTCGACAATGTGCAACTAACGGAGGAGAGCATTGTGGGGCAGGCGCACGATGGGAACCGCATAGCGGAGCACCTCGTCCGATCGGCCCGCTTACGTAGCTCATTACCCGCCATTGCGCTGGCCAAGCGGCTGCTAAACGAGCTGGCAGAGTACAGCGTGGCCACCACACAATGTGGTGTGAATGTGAAGTAAGTATTGGATGGAAATATCCAAACCATAAATTGCTCATCACACCCGCAGTGCCTGCATCAGATTTTGAGTTATAACCACATTTTTTGTCATGTGGTATTATCTTTTGTGATGCGGAGTTGTTTTATCTTGTAATTATATATCTTATTCTTTAAATTACATAATTAAAAATGTTTAATAATGTGCTGAAACCTTTACCCCATATGTCCCACAGTTTAGTCAAAATTCAAAAGTCAACTTATCGACTTCTTTATTTTTCCAGGGACTTGGAAATAACGCGGGCTCACTTATCCGAGAGCATGTGCTCCATTTACGCCATGGAAAGCATGCTCTACCTCACGGCGGGCATGTTGGATGAATTCAAGGCGCAGGATGTGACATTAGAGAGCGCCATAACCAAGGTGAGTAAAGTGATGAACTTGAAGAAATTGAAGATTGTGCTTACCTGCTCGAATTTTTCAGTATTACACTCTAAAGCAACTGTATAGAATTGCGACCAAAAGCCTGACTGTTATAGGGCCGAAGAGTCTGCACACTGGACAGCCGGGGGAACTGGGACTGCAAGATGCGGCGCAATTGTATACCCAGAACGAGTCCATAGACACCCTGAGCATGTTTGTGGCGCTAACGGGTCTGCAGTATGCCGGCGTAAGTGAAGGCCACCAATATGTTTTGCGATGCGACATGGTAGTCTGATTGTTGACCTACTTTTGTTTTCTTCCTGCAGCAACTCATGAACGAAGGTGTGCGCAAATCTCGCAATCCGCTCTTCCATCCGGGTCACATATTCGGGAAGTTCTTCGCCACCGCATCCTTAGAAAATCCCAAGACGGCATTGCAACTATCCGAAAATGTCCATCCCACCCTGGATCCCGCTGCCCAGTGCATTGAGCATTCCGTGGCTCGTTTGCAAATGGCCGTGGAGGTGATGTTTACGCGCCATGGCAGTGCGGTGGTGGAGCGCCAAACGGAAATGAGACGCCTGGCCGATGCGGCCAGCACTATTTATGCGATGTTTGCCTGTGTGGCGCGCGCCTCCAGATCCTACTGCATTGGTCTGTCCCTCGCGGATCACGAGATGTTAACTGCATCGGCAGTGTGCTTGCATGGTCGGGACCATGTGAAGGCGCTTTGCACGGAAATCTATAATGGCCATCATCTCAACAACGACAACAATTTGCTTCGCCTTTCCTCTCAGATAACCAAGAGCAAAGGCTATTTCGCTGTCCATCCCCTGACTTTTAATTTTTAGGTGTTGAATTTTATTTGTTATGTTTGGCTGTAAAGCATGTGAATAAATACATGATACATGCTAATCTGAATAGTTTATGTATATATAAGGTGTGGGGGATGTTTGCATCATGACTATTAGGATGAGTTAATCCATTAAAGATAATCAGTACTGACAAATTAATTGTCATTTTCCGACGTCGATGTCACTTTTTCCATGTATAATTTCAAAATAATACGACAAGAATGAAACCTATATACATACATGTGTACGTACTACAAGTACGTGCGTGCAGACACTTTTTCTTTAAAATTCGTGCGGTGCACCTAGTATTTAAGTATCCCCTTAAGCGGATAAAAGTTGGTCGCTGGTGAGAGTGTGGACAAGAGAGTTTTCACTGTATGTATGTGCACTTTGTGGGCTCTACCACGGCTCTTTCTGTGTTTTAAATACTTAACACTTTTGCATTGCTGATGGTACAAGCTTTGATGGGTTTAACAATATTCCTTCCTACCTGAAAAGCGTTTACAAAAAAATTTTCCAACGAATGTTATAAGCCAGCCAAAACACTAATAAAGCGGGGACGCATGGAAATGTTTCATTTTCCCTTTTTTCGAATAAACATACTATATGTATGGACATTGATATTCAAAAAGCTGCGGGAAAATTCTTTCGCCCATGATAATCAATCAAATCACATTTTAATGAATATACATATGTACATATGTAGAATGTATTAATTATAAAGGGAGTCTATTGTTAGATCAATATGTATACAATAAAATCTATTTTACAATACGTTGTATAACCGGAAGCAAATTATCAGCGGCATTCAAGGCTCGACCGATTTATGCAAATCAAAATTGGCTAAAGACTCAATAAGTATTCACTTGCATTTCAAAGGCGCCCTGTTGCTCTTTGTGTTTTATTTAACGGACACAAACATACATACATACATATGTACATACATATATTTAAAATTAAATAACTAATGGGAACAACATAGTATCTTGACAATACTGCTAAGTGAGGGACGGAATATGGATCAGGTGTGTGGCAGGTGCAGTAACTGTACCTACCTAGCAACATACATACACACATATGTACATACATATGTACATTGGTATTGCATTTGATACGAAGAACTTTTTCAGTTTGTACAACGCTTTAAGTACAATTATCTGCAAAGGCAAGTGCGTGTTAACAGCTGCTAAATGTTTAATAACTACGCCCAAACCTCTGCCGGCCCACTGCAATTTTCGCTGCTCATTTGAACAACGGCAAATGTGTATAATTTTCAATACACGCATATGCAAGTCTTCGACAGCAGAGGCAGCAGAGACGTAACAGTCGTAAGTCGCAGTCGCTGCGTTTTATCTCACACACATTGAAACAACACCCGCGCTCTCGCGCTTTTGCTCTCTCATTCCTGCCTGTTCCTGACTGTAGCCGCTGTCATGGCGTTTTGCCTCTTTCTGGTTCTATCCCCATTTTCGTTTCGGCTGTCGTACTGTGCGCGCGTGTTTCGCAGAGCGGCAAGTATTTTTTTGCAATTTTGCCATTATTTTTAATAGTGAAAACTATCGTTGGATATTTCCTCCCCCCACACACCCTGTAATGCATTTAATGGCATGCATTGCAGTTGACAACTCGCAGCGACCGTGTGAAAATTAAAGAAAACGGAAAAACGCCCACGGCGACGAATATTGTGAGTGTTTTCTATGTATGGTGTACATACATTCAAACATATGTATGTGTACGTGTTTGTATGTTGTGTGTGGATGTAAGCGTCTAGTGTATTTGTATATACGCGAAACAGGAAGAAAAGAAAAGACGCATGCAATTTTTAAGAAATTAATGCAAATTGTATTAAAGTTGATAAATTGACGCAATTAGCGCAAATTTGAGAATGTTTATTAAAAGAAAAACAAAAAAGAATAACGTGAGTGTTGTTAAACCATAATCTTTGGCGAGCGGCTAATATAAAACGCAGAAAACATAAATCAACAGTGGAAATACAGGTAAGCCTTTTCATACAACATTTTGTTTCGAATAGAGGTCTGCCTTTTTCTGGTAGCGTAAATCCTATAGCACGGCTGCATTGCTCATCAAATTTTACCCTAAAATTTGCTATGGAAATGCGGCAGAAACGCTTGTATTTATGACACGGTGCGACGTTGTGGCAAGCGACAAAGAAGACGTCGCCGCTTTATGGTGGTGGGCTACAGCAGCAACAACAACAGCAAACATTACCAACAATAAAATGAATTAAAGCACAAATAATAAAGCATACATACACAGTGTGCACAGAGAAGCTTGTCAAGAGTTGCCGACGTTGACGTCGCAGTCGCCGTTCAATTCTGCCACCCCATGCACCAACCAACCGACCACACAAATGTTACAAACAATAAAATGGTTAGGAAAAGAAGAATTTAGCGCAGCCAGCTGCGACGCCATCGCCCGATGCCATTTCATTTCAGTTCGTTCCACATGTTATTGCGAGAGTGTTTTGCTTTTTTTCTAGTTTTGTTCACCCACCGGCTGCGCGACCAAAAACTGATTCTGATTCCACTCACTCGATGAACACTTGGGGTTTTCATATTGCTGTTTTTTTTGTTTCTTGGCCACTCTGTGTATATGGGAAGTTCAGAGTGTGTGTGTCTTTGGAGTGTCTCTGTGACTGGTTCATACAAATACAATCCATCAGCCAGGCGGTCACATTGGCGTCAGCGTCGGCTTCGACGTCGGCGCTGCTGCTCGCGCTTTTATTTGGGATTTGCGCACGAATTGTTACGCCCCCACCTCCCACTCAGAAGTTATTGTTGTAGTTGTTGCTACAGATGGTGTATGGAGTTGTGCGGATGTTGGGTGAGGGGTTCTTGCTGGTTGCCTGCTCGTTTGACTCAACTGACGGACAGACAGCTAAGGCAGGAGAGAGAAGCAGCAAGCCAAGCGGACGCACGCATCGTTCGAGCGCAAGTGGAGTGAGTTTTGGATTTTGTTTTATACATTTTCTTGGCATTTTCGTTTCTTTTGCACCTTCTCATAGCAGCCGCCGAGTCAGCATACTCACACACACAGACACAAACACCCTTCCGCTGCTGCCCTCAAAAATGAGTGGGCATTTTTTCTGTGCTGCTTTTTGTACGTTTTTCAAATTTTAATTGCTGCTGTTGGACTTTAGTTATTAATCAATTGCCGTGTGAATGTGTGTGTTCGATTGTTTGTGTTTGTACAGTGCTCAGTAAAAGCAATTTGTAAGGCTGCCTATATTGATAAATATAATTAATTATAGAACTGTACCTATAAATATACCTACCTGTATAGTAATACGCATTCTTTTATGGTGCACTACAGAGAAGTTAGCTATGCTTTAAATTATAATTAATGCAAATATTAGGTCAACGTAGTCTGCCCTTCGCACTGTACATGTCCTTTCAATCACTCGTTAATTAGTTGCTTAGTACATTTTAATGATGAATGATGATTAACTCTTTTAGCTTAAGCAAGTTGGATGGCTATTAATGCGAAAGTGGTTCATTTCTTGGCTTAGCCATGCAATCAAACTTCGTAATCCCAACCAGTGACTTATGGCCTTGATAATGGAACTTGGCCTTCCAAAGCGGTTCCAATTGCAAACGTACGCTTACGGCCGATGCCTTGGTGCAAACCAATGAGCATGATATATAGTAAATCATTATAGCGTATATAAATGTGTATAACCACCGTCTGGGCCTGTGCGTGCTTGTATGCGTGTGTTAACCCCAAAGTGAAAACCGACTCCTTTTTATTTGTCTTCCCTTTGAAAGGCCACGAAAGCTTGAAATGTGTTTCGTGTTCCATTTTATATTGAATAACATCGAGACGCGTATGTATAAAATCGATTTCTAATCGTGTAAATAAATGGCGACAAATGCTGCCCAAAGAGCAGCAAAGCATGTACATATGTGTATATATACAAGTGTGTGTCTATATGCGTGTGCCGTTGCCAATGTTGCACCTAGAGCCTCTGGCGGACTGGAGAAGCGCTGAGTTGCTCGCGATGTGGCGGCGGCTTGGCCAACAAGGGTACAAAATGGGAATTGCGACAAAAACTCAAACGAAGCCGAAATTGAAACGAAAGCCAAGAAAAGCAAAGCCTGGCGAGTCACAGTTACGTCGACAGCGACAGCGATAGCGATGGCGGCGTCGACGCCGACGTTGGCCACAGTCAGTGGCGTTTAATAACAGATAACATGCGACAGAAGGCGACTCTTTAGGGGCCTGAGTGGCATGCAACGATATATATGTGGCCAAGTGGTGAGGCTCTTCGCGTTTGGGCCTAAAATGCCAAATGCCGAAGTGCAGTGAGCAAAGCAACATCAGCAACAAACTGTCAAGTCAACAAACGGTGAGACAAAAAGACGTACAATACAGACACACATTTACACACACACATATATTGTATGAAATAAATATAGGCTGACTATCGAACTCAAACTGATGTTGATGTGTCCAGCAAGGAGTCGATGGAATGCTTGTTTTTTTGTTCCTCCTCTCAGTTTGAATTGTTGTTGTTGCTGTTGTCTAACATGACCCAAGCGACTTCTCCAATGTAGGCAATGCCCGCCCCTATGGTGCCCACTAATTGGGGTAGGACTTGGACAGAGAAGGAGTTCTATGCTGTTCATGTTGTTCTTGTTATTGCTGCACATGCATTTTATTTGTTTTTACGCCACACTACACACGTAAGCCCGCCACCTCACTTCCCACCTCTCTCATTCCGTAACTGCAGCTTAAAGTGCAAAAAATCACACGCCATTTGGGCCAGACAGGCTGCCAGGGCCACAAAACATTACGAGTATTGAGCGAATGCACAAAGAGAGAGGGACAGCGAAAAAGAGAGAGAGAGCAAGGCTTCTATGCTGCGATGGATGGCTGAAAATTGAATTGGTTGATGTAGCTGCCGATACCCATGCAGATGGTGTTGTTGTTGTTCTTGTTGTTAGTGTTATTGCTTTTCCTGTTGTGCATTCATTGGCGTTTGCCAACGCTTTGGAAATATTGGCAGTAATTGAATTTATGCCGTTCTACTGCCCGCCACCGCTCGTTCCCTTCCTCCTCAGACTGCAACACTATCGAAAATTGAAATGCAAAAGATGAGTGCAATGGCATACCCCCCCCCCTGTCCTCCCCCGCCCACGATTGAGTCCCACACTCTTTGCCTATCAAACCATGGTTTGAATGCAAATTGCGATGCGTGTGCCCCGAGTCCGTTGCCCGTTCTCATTTGTCGCTGGTTGGTAAACAATTTTCATTGAATTTTGTACATTTTGTCCTCATTGCGACAGGTTCCCTGGGAACTTCTCGTTTAGTGATTGGCACACACAGACGGAGAGACGAAAATCGAAATTTGAATTTCAGTGAAAACTAAATTAAATAAATAAATAAAATAAAACTAATTAATTCCATGCCATAGTATTTAGATGCAACCTTAGTTAAAATCGTCTGCCTATTGGATAGAAAGTTAATTTCAACGATTATTTGTTAATGTATAATTCTTAATTAAATTGTCTTTTAATACTTTATCGAAGAATAGTTTAATGTCCCTATTAAAGCCAATTTTCGCATAGTTGTATGAATAAACCCTTTTTAAAATTTATAATGACTTAGAAAGTAGGATGTCAGAGGCAGTATATTCGATTGCCTCTCGGAACTACTTCGGTCAAAATATTAACAATTGTTCAGTTGATAAACTTCAAATAATTGAATGCCCATCGTTATCAGATTTTCGCATTCTTCTAGTAGAGTATAAAATTAAATTGCAAGAATGACAGAAATTGAATCAATTAATTTGCCTTTCTGTGCAAGCTGCGACTTTGCCGCCTACGGCCGGTCGTAAATACAATTACCATATAACACAATTAAAACCATTGCCTCTTTGTGTTGGTGGTGATGATTGGCACCGTATCATAGGTGCGATAGGTGCGATTAAGTGTGAGGTCCGGCTTTCTCATCTGCAGCATCCCCTCTTTTTGTGAAATCCGCATTTGTTCTTTGTACCGCTCTACCAGTTCCGGCTTTCGCAATTGATTTCATTTAATAGTTTTCCTAGGTCAAGTTCTCAATTGCTTTCCATACATACATACAATTATAAAAATCGATATACATACATATATGTATACCCGTTTCAGCTTTCGAGGAAATAAAAACGATTTGCAATAATTGAGTTCTTACAATTTTAAAAGTTGTCTGATCAAATTTATTTTGTCAATTATTAGGGAAAAGTGTACTATTGCTATAAATACATTACAGGTCGCACATTAAAAGTTTTGAGCTAAATATAAAATAGTTTGTTTATCCATAAGGAAGCATCGTAGAGAGTAAGGTATAGGCACATACTCGTATATGATCAGTATGACAGGAGGAACAAGACAACTAATAACCAATTAAGAGTATTGATCGCGAATAGTTATTATGGATCACAAAATTATAAATAAGATAAAAATATTTTCGAGTCCATGATTTTGCTGTAAGTCACATGAAAAGCTATATGTATAGTCGTAGCTGCGGCGCAGGCATTCTGCAACATATGTATGTGTTTGAAACTTCAGTTAAGATAGTACAGTGCAGTACGAAATAATCCCAATATAATTAATTTTAAGTTGAAAAGTTTTTTTTTAAGGAATAGGGCTGGTATATAGAATCGCTATAAATATATTTTAATAAATAAATATTAAAAGTACTATTAGATAAATATTTTCTACATAACGATTTTGAAATGCGTACAAGTTTAATTTACTGAGTAGGTGAACCGATTTATCGTTCAATATTCCGACCGCATATAGTCGTACATATGTATGTATATACTACGTGTAAATGTTCAACCAGATACCTCTTTAGAAATAAATATGGGTATATTTAGGTATTCATGAGGGTATTATTATTATCTTCCAACTACAAACTACTTGTATATATGTAATTATCATAATTTTGTAATGACCAAAAACATTAGATTAAATTTGACACGACCGGGAAATAC